GCCTCTAAGAGCAGAGATAACCTAAAGGATACGTTTACCCTTGTGGGTGATGTAGGACATGTGTGCCTTGCCAGAAAGTTTGGGATCAAGCAAGATCCCTAATACGGGGTCTACAATAGAAGTCGTAGCGGTCGTAGGATCTTAAGTCGTAGAAAATTGACCAATCATAGTTGATTATTCTTCTCATATTCGACTGTGATTGGTCAATTTTCTTTCTTAAGACCTACGACTTAAGACCTACGACTGCTACGACTTCTATTGTAGACCCCGCATAAGAAGCGTACGGAAGGGGAAGGGAGAATGAGGTGATTATGGTAAGAAATATAGTGATTAAGCGGAACAGAGGGCCTCTTATTAGAGAATACCTCAGTTGCGTTTTTTGCGGAGAGATCTCCAGACCGCAATCCCGTAGAAAAGTTCCCAAGTTGTGCAAGGATTGTTCCACAGACTGAATTGCCAACATGGTATTCTTAGCGGAAGAGAAGATAACGATATCGTCAGCAAATTGAAGTAATTCCGCAGAAGGATGGAGGACATCGTTGACTTTACGCAAATAGATGTTAAAAAGCGTGGGACTAAGGACAGAGCCCTGAAGAGTACCTTTATAGGAGGCTCTGGGATCTGAGATCATACTCTGATTAATGAATTGTAACTTGCGGGAAGAAATAAGGTTAGAAATAAAAACAATAGTAAAGGGAGGAAAATCCAGATGTAAAAGACCCTGTAAAAGGATGTGAGGGAGCATATTATTGAAAACAGATTTAATATCGATAAATAGTGGCGCCGTGTCCTGCTTCGCAAGAAAGCCCGAATGAATGCAACAAGCGCAGTGAGGTTGTCCTGACAAGATCTAAATTTGCGAAATCCGAATTGGTTATTCGGTAAAAATTCGGAAAAAGGGGAATCAATGAGCCAGTAAAAGCGGTTTAAAATCATTTTCTCCATGACTTTGAGCAGACAAGAAATGAGGGAAATCGGACGAACACCATTACTATTAGGTTTCGGTATTAAGTGGACAAGAGAGTGGGACCATTGGCTGGGGAAGACTGAGCATCGAAAGAGGTTGTTAAAAATAGTAAGGAGGCAGGACAAAAGTTCGGTAGGTAGAGCTTTGAGTAAGCGATAGTCAATTCTACCTAGACTCGGGCTGAAGGAAGGTTTGACGGATTGAAGTGCCGAACGAAGCTCCGAATTAATAGAGAAAGGAGAATCCAGCCATGAAAGATTGCTCTGGTAAGGCAGAGGAATCACGGGTGAGGAAGGAGGACAAGAAGGAAGGCAAAGCTTATCAATAGCATCCTGGATCACCTCGGAGTTCTCGGAGTTTCTATTAAGAGAGTTGGAGTTAACCGGAACAAGGCGGCGGTTCCGGAAACGTTTAAGCATGCACCACATTTCTATGATTGCAATCAAGAGAGGCGCAAAAAGCTTTCCAACCATTACGTTTAGCTTTACGAAGAATCTTACGACTTTGAGAAACCACAGAGCAATAAAAAGCATAGTTGTCTAAAGTAGGATTCTGTTTAAAAACCTCGAGTGCGCGACCACGGTCCTTGACCGCAGTAGAGCACTCAGGTGTCCACCAAGGAGCCGGAGGAAGTCCCTTGAAAGTAGAGGTCGCGCGAGAAGATCGAGTGTTGACAGGAGGTTTCGAGGGATAAAACCGCTTGTAACTAACAGAGATAAGCTCCAGGAAGGTATTGTATTGTGTAACAGGATCGTCCGAATGAATAGAATTAATAGTTTGAGAGACAGTTTTGGAGTTATCGTAAAGATATTGTTTAACCTCAGTCCATTAAGTTTTAGAAAGATTAATCTTATAAGAAAAGACGGAAGACGTTTTGACCAAACAATAGACACGGATTTCAAAAGGATGATGGTCGCTACCATAGAGATCAGAGAGAACTTGTGCGTCACAAAGAGAGGAAACATGAGGAGATGCAATAGCGAGATCGATGGTGGAAGAATAGTAAGGAGAGATATAAGTAGGAAGGAGGGAGGGTTGAGAATCACTAGATGCTGATCGTCGATACATTTGCCGAGGATACGGTTGGCACCGTTCACACGAGTACCGCCCCACACGGGTTTTGCGCATTAAAATCACCAAGAAGGATAGAAGAGTCATGATCACCGACAAAGGAGGTAAGGGAGGAAAAAGAATTTCTAGAAGCAGGAACGTTGGGATGTCTATAGACACCGATCAAGAATAAATGAGAGTTGTTAAGGGAAAGCTAAATGCCAAGAGCTTCAAAAGAATTGTCAACCATAGACGAAAGATCAAGGGGGATATAAATGATGGGATTGCGAATAAGGGCAATTATCCCCCTAATATCAACCATGTTTGCATCGATACGAAGGCAATCGAAACCATGCACGCGAAAATCATGGACAAAGCTGACACAAGTTTCTGCAAGGAAAAATATCAAAAGATTCGGAGAATTTTTCAATTTCAGCTTTTTTACCGAGGGCGCCACGGCAATTCCAGAAGAGTATCCGCGGAGCTCGCAAATCACGCATTGATGAGAGTTAAAAGAGTGTTGAGGCTATCGTAGGATCCGCTATCAGAATTTAAGTTCAATTGAGCATCGAAGATATTACGTAGAAATTGAAGGAAGAACGAAATTATTAAATGTATAATTTGTGAAATAACGTGTATTTGAGGATCAGAGGAAGAGGAAGATGAGGATAAGGGAGGAGAAGGGAGAGGATGAATAGGAACAGAGGAGGGGACGCTGGGAGGGAAGGAAAGGGAGAATCAGAAGGTAAGGGTGAGGGACTACAAGGGAAGTGAGGAGAGGTAAGACTAGGAAGTCTGCCATTGGGAGCATAAAGAAGTGAATTGTGGGTTTCACGGAGTTTAGTATAAGGATTTAAGGAACATCGATCCGAGAATCTGCCAATATTGGCATTACGATTATTAACTTGCTCCGACGTATTTGCCAGATGTTCACGCGAATGATTATCACAAGATGGGTGAGAATAAGCATATTTGATTTGAGGAGCGGTTCGCGCGGTGTCTGCGTAAGAACGAGAAGTGTTATATCGTAGGAGCTAAAATTATGATAACTTGCAGGAACACGAGGACTAGTGGGTTTAGGAAGCGAAGGAAAATCCTTGTGATGAGATTCGGAAAAGGGGAAGTAGGAGGGGAAGAGGCTCCAAATCTAAGGCGTGCTTCAGAGTAGGAAACATTTTCGATAGCGGCGATAAATTTGTTTCTGGCGCAAGTAAGTGGGGCAGACAGCTGAGGAGGGCAAGTGCTCCCCCCCCCCGCAGTTGCAACAAATCGAAGGAGATCGCAATCGAGGGCACTCCTCGAGGCTAGAATGCTTAGGGTTGCCGCAGCGCGCACAACGCAGCTTGCCTTTGCAGTCGGCGCTAACGTGACCGTAACGCAAACATGAGAAGCACATAAGAACTCTCGGAAAGTAAGGGAGGACTGGGAAGCTGACGTGCAAGAAGGCAATCGAGCGCGGTAGAGACTGCCCATGAAACTTGATCATAACCGTTCGTAAGGGTGAAGTAATCAACTCACCATCCTTGCGAGTTCTAATATTCATCACGTTTTACCGAAATAATCTTACATGGCGAGGTGAAGCTGTTAATGATATCACTATCCGAGATGTCCAGAGGGACATCCTTGATCACACCCGTGCGCATGACGCGAAAAGCAGAAATAAAAGCTAAAAGATACCGTTGTCTTTAAGCAACGGATGTGTAAGGATATTATTCGCCGCAGCGTGATCACTAAAGTGCACAGCAACTATATTGCGGCCCGATGATTTAACCTCCAAAATTTTTCCATTGGCGATACGCATCATCACGCTCGCGACCGCAATCGGATCAAGACGAGAATCTCCGCCACCGCTCTCAGTGACGCGTCTCACAAAGACAGTAAAGGGAGAAAGATCCTCCTCATCATAGGTTACATTCACAAATGTTCGAATCTAGGTTACGTGTATGCGAGATCGCCGGCGAAGTCTTCGCCGGGAATTCCCCGATCGCCGTCTCACCGCCACACTCGCGGGGACGCTTATTGGAGGGGGGCGTTTCGTTGATGCAAAAAGGCGCTCCGCTATCGGCCGGCCTACGCCAGTAGGAACGTCGGACGAGGGGGGAAGGGATTTTCATGCACGGAACACTGTAAAATTCCCGTATCATCCTCACCGGCACCGATGTCCGCATCCATGTCTCCATCCCCGTACATCGAGGAAGCATCCGAATCTGGAATTAAAACGTCTTTGATCGGAGATCGCGATCTAGCACAGGAAGATTTAGATACCGAAGCGGAAGAGGGGAGGATTGTACGCGAATACGGCGTATTCCCATCCTTTTTCGCTTTTTTCTTCGCTTTTATTAGACTTAAAGAATTCCTCGCTATTTGCTAATGATGATGATGCAACAGGTGGAGGACTTTTCATGAAGCCGACAGCCGGGGACGGTTTCTTGCCTGAAAGCGAGTTCGCGCTCAAAACATCATTGTTCTTGTTACTTGCACGCTCGAAAAAGTTATTAAAGTTCTCGAGAGATGTCGAGAAACGCTTGTTAACCGTCCTCGAGCCACCGCCGGGATTCGGCGGGACAGGGACACCGGCCTGTATAGCAGAATACAAATCGAATGCTAAAACACGACAGCAAGCAGGCAAAATTAAGTGTACTCACATGTAGAGGAGAGAAAATCCTCTTCAAAGAATCACAGTAAGGCTAAAGGACAAACCAAAGCCAGGAAAGCACGGAAGGCAAAGCAGAAAGCTCAGGCGCAGAGAAGGTCTACCGCGTTCGGCCGCTTACGAGCGAATGGTCTCTGAAGTTCAAAGTCTGAACGTGAACTCTCAATACCCATGTAGCGTAACGAGCGCTTCGCGAACTTTGCGTAACCAATCACAAGTTATTATTTCATTAGGGTTTAAAATCACATTAAAACTAATTTCATAGATTTTAACATCTTTAATTAATATTTCCAATAAGAAACGCATTTAATTTAGTACAGGGTGGGCCATCTAACGTTTTCAATTTCAACTACCGATTACTTTGATTTTGGCAACACTTACATCATCCGTGTTATGAGAGAAAGTTAGTTTTATGTTTGACATTTACAAAATGAGTCGCTTTTCGCTTGAACAAAAGTGGGAAATATTGAAAACATATTTCCAAAATAGTGAGTCTTCTACTGAAACTGTAAGAAAATTACAAAAAATTTTTGGTAAACAAAACGTGCCTTCAAGTCAGTATGTGAATCAATTTGTGAAGCGAGTTCGTGAAACTGGATCGTTGTTGGATAAAACAACACGTTCTCGTGCTCCTACAGTGCGGACAGCTGAAAACATTGCCACTGTTGCTCAGAGTGTTAGTGAACAACCATCAACATCAACTCGTCATCGTTCTCAACTCGTCAGCGTTACCGCTCTATGTTAGCCAATTTTTTGTTTACCGAAATTGAAGATGATGACACAGATGACATTTGGTTTCAACAGGATGGCGCTACGAGCCACACAGCCAACGTTACAATCGATCTTTTGCGCGGTGTTTTCGAAAATCGAATAATCAGCCGAAATGCTGATGTCAATTGGCCGCCTAGAAGCTGTGACTTGACTCCATTGGATTATTTTTTGTGGGGTGCCGTTAAAGATAAATGTTACGCTAATCATCCAGAGACAATTGATGCCTTGAAACACGAGATTGAAGTTGCCATTCATGAAATTCAAGCTCATACAATCGAAAAAGTACTTCAAAATTGGGTTCATCGTATGGGCTACTGTAAGGCCAGTCGTGGAAGTCATTTAAATGAAATTGTGTTCCATTCTTAAATGTCAAAGTGCACTCTTTTGAATACAAAAAAAAATTTTTTTAAATACCAATGCGTTTTATTTTTACAGCTAAATGAAATTGAAAACGTTAGATGGCCCAGGGCCCACCCTGTATTTAAGTACATGATGATAAAAAAACAAATAATAAAACAATATTTAAAAGTAATTTTAAGAACTTGCTGTTCATTCCGCTTACGCTCATTCCGCTCCATGAAGATGAAGGAATTTGAAGCCGCGTAAGGTGTTACGTCTCAGGGTTCCGTCCCATGACGCGTATCGCGATACGCGAATCCGCTTACGTACGAACCGCTCCATAAGACATTAGGAACACAATTATCGCGTACGTAAAACGGCGGATCATCGGTGATTGTTCGGATCCTCCGATACGCGAATACGCGCGTACAGCGATACGCGTCATGGGACGGAACCCTTAGGGTGGTTCGACCAATCCTCAGTTTCAGAATAACCCTGAGACTATGAGTAAGATACGAAACTCGCAATTTCGCGCGTCGGAGGGAATGCGCGACCAGGTTGATCGCTAGGAGTCGAGCGCGAATGCGCTTTTTTTCGCTCGTGAGCTCTCGTACAGTGTGGACCTTTTTGCGCCTGCGCTCTGCCATTGTCTCCTGTGCTTCCCCGGCTTTGGCCTGCTTTTCTTGTTATTTGTGCTTTCCTCTTTGAGGTTTCTTTTATCCTTTTACGCTTAAGTACGCTCTTTTTTGCCTGCTCAGTAGCCTCTTGTCCCTGCTATGCAGGAAGGTGTCTCTGCCCCGCCGGATTCCGGCGGTGGCTCGGCACCCGTTGGTATACGAGTTTCTGCGTCCCTTGAGGACTTTAATGTTTTTTTCGGGCGCGCGAGCGGTGGTCATGATGCTGATGGAAATAAACAGCCTGAAACAGCACATTTAATGCCCCCGCCTTCGGCTGATTACCTAAAATCATCATCGCCGGTTGCATCACCCTCTTGCAAAAAGGCGGACATTAAACAAAAAAAGAAGGGTATAGGGCAATAGGAGGAGGGACATGCGAATCTTGACTTCGCGCGATCTTTCTCCGTCCATTTCTACAGACTCGATTTCTTCGTCGCGATCGCGCCTCGCTCTCGATCCCGTTCTTCGCTGATTGCATGTGGTGACCGTGAATCTAATCCTCCTTCGCTTAATAACGATATTCCTATGGATACGGATAATGACGAGGTGGACATTCAAACTTCGGCTTCGCGGGCTTCACCGAAAGCCGTTAGTGACAATAAGGGTGAAATCACACGGTGCGGAAAAAGACTGCGGAATGGAGAATGCGTCATTGAAGCAACCAATCAGCGCTATTCAGCGTTATTCGGAATAGTGCTGATTGGTTGCTTCAA